CCCAGAGTACCACAACAGCCATTTCAATGGTACTATTGGTCTCCATTTAAGCTCTATGTATTTGGTATTGTTGATGATGCAATTGATCAGCATTATCATGCAATATTTACAGAGGCACAACAAGGTAAGGGACCTAACCAAGTTGTCTCAATTTTACATTGTTTCTTGACTAGCCTTCCAAAACATACAGCAAATATACACCTTTGGGCAGATAACTGTGGAGGACAAAATAAGAATAAAACAATGCTATAGTATCTCTGTTGGCTTGCACTCACTCAAAACATACAGGAAATTATCTTGGGATTCCAGATAAAGGGTCATACAAGAAATAGTGTTGATCGTGGCTTTGGAACTGTGAAACAAAAGGCCAATAGAAATGAGGTTTGGACTCCAGAGATGTATGCAGCACTTGTTGATTCTACTGATAAAGCAGGAAAGATCAAAGCGGTACGGTTTTTCAATGATCCTCCAGAAACTCTATTTCGTGATTGGGATTCAGCTCTTAAGCCATACCTCAAAGCCTTGAAGGGAATTCAAAACTATTACTTTTTCCGCTTCACCTCTGTAAATCTTGGTATAGTAGAGGCAAAACGGCTACCCCAGGACAAGTGGATAGAACATGATTTACGAAACAAAAACTTTCTTTTAGCTAATTTCTTGGCCATTGAACCTAATGGTCTTCCAGATACAAGTTTGAATCCAGAGAAACGCCATGATCTTTGGAATAAATATTCTATCTATGTGCCAGCAGAGTACAAAGATCAATGGTACTACTTAAAACCTCAGGATGAGCTAATTTCTGCAGTGCGTGAAAAGAAGAATTCAAGGATATTAAATGCCAAGGAGGCTAAAAGGGAACTGGCTCAGGAGGCAGACAAAGGTGAGAGTTCTACTAATAGATTACCAGATTCCCTAACTTCAATTCCTGCAAAGCGAAGATGTGGTCGTCCCCCAGGCTCAAAAAATAAGCGCCAAGCATTAGATTAATCTTATAACCTCTATTAATTCTTATTACTCAGCTCTTATAACTTCTGTTAATGTGTATTCTTAGTTTATAATCCCTCTCTGTCCTATTAAGCTTGACTAAACTACAAAATATTTGCATAAAATTAAACAGAAAGCTAAAGAGATTATTATACTTTGATCTCAGACTATATATACCATAGATGGTTGTGCTATTTCAATTCCAGTGTCAAAAATACGTTTTTCCCTTTTTCTCAAAAGTCTCCTGGTTGCTAGGCAAACTAAAACTGCCTCTAGCTCAACACAACTAAAATGCAAGTTTCCTTGTTTTCCCTACAATGCACCCATATCATGGATAAGCTTTCAACTAACCCCTCCCCATCGGCTACCACCCCCCACACAAACAAAAACAAAAATAAAAAGGAGGTGGAGAGAGAGAAAATCAGCAAAGCCAGGGAACCTTTTTATTTCCGAAAAAAACAAATGAACAACTTTTACAGATACCGCTAATTTTAACCTTCTCACCACCACCACGGCTCCCTGACCGAGACCTAACTACCGGCACTGTACGAGTACAGCACGGTACTAGAGCGGTCAGTTCCGACCCGCGCGCACTCGAGGAGTTATCACATCATAGCCCGTGACTTCCCGTCAGCTGCGCGCTACGCCTAGCAGCGGTTGCCCGGAACCACGCAATCTATTACTCGGAGATCAATATAACCACTAAGGACTTTGATAAGCTGCGAAAAAAGCCCCCGGCACACTACTCGCACACCCTACCGTTGGGGTGCCTTCCCGACACCGGTTCGTTATCGGAGGGGAGTGTGACAGGACTGGCCAGGTGGATCGACAGAAAGCCAAAGAGATGGAGGTAATTTCTTCAATTTCGTGCTGTCTACAGCGCGGGGGGGCTGGGCTGGATGATCCTGGGAGGAAACATCGTACCACTGTGATAACGGAGCTCACACGACACATGATAGAAAACGGATACTGAGGAGCGAATCACGGAGCTGTGTGTCCGATTCATGTTGTTCGATCGGAATCAATCGATCAAGCGGAAGATATTGCGTATTATGATAAGAGGCTGTTGCCAAAGGAAAATCGGGAGAAAGCAAATGAGCAAAGCTGAGCAGAATAGGCATGATAGAAAGCAAACAGTGACCATGAGTCCTCCTACGAGCACCACAGGTCTGATATATACCGGAATGTATACGCGATCCCTACCATCAGCATCCACCCACGGGCTCCAGCAACCCATCCAGTATACAGAGGCCCGGGTATAGAATCCACCATATAATCCTCCATCCACACTCCCCCAATTCTATCCTTGAAGAGTCTCTTGACATTTCCTACTACTGTAATACCTATCCACTACATTGTTGATGGCCCCGAACTCTCCTGCTTTGCGCCAAAGGTTGAACCAGCGCAATCGGCCCGGTGAATTATTCCGGAGTGGGTAATCGAGTGATAGCAAATGCATTCATGTTTACATTGTAACCTTTATTCTTCTTTGTTTCCTTTTTATGATAACTCAAGCAGCGAACCCGGCATGGAAACTTCTCCTTCCTTTATGAGTTGGAACAATAATCTGTGGCCATTATAGGGCTAGGGTATCCATCACGGACTGAGTATTCTCTTGTACTTGAAGGTCCGTCTGTATGCTAAATGTGATCTTCCTCTTCCACTGTTGGGTAATCGATAATGATATTATCGTGCTGATACGTGTTATGATAGCACCCATCTGTGAGTTTGGCCCTGACAAAAATAATATACATATATATATATATATATGGTTCCGGAAACTAAACTCTATACCAACTTTTCTAGAAAATGTGTGACGATTTTTTTTTCCTGCAACGGCAACTGTAACACCCCTCCAAAAAAAAATTTAAAAAATTTCTCACTTAGGTTGCATTACCCTAAATATCAATTCCTTAAGCCTTCATCACATAATTATTTTTTTTTAAAAAAAAAACATATAGTGAAAAGCAGTCTAGGAATTGGTTTTGTAAAAATATAATATCAACAGAAAATAAGCAGAATAAGATTTTATTGTGCTAATTAATGGATACAGACATGAAGTCTGGGATTTGTTGCGAGTTTTACAATATAGGGTACAGTACAGTGCCATGCCCTCAGTTTGAAACAAAACATTGGCGAGGTGTTATCGTACGGTTGTCGTTGCAGGAAAAAAATCGTCACACATTTCTAGAAGAGTTGGTATAGAGTTTTAGTCTTCCGGAACCATATAAAGAAAACTATGATACGAGTGCTGATCTGACTGGTTGCCTCCTCTAGCACCACAGTGAAATTCGGCCCTATCGATCGATCAATAAACACTGCAAAGGATGGGGCACAGTGCAAACATTACTGGTACAGCATCATAAATCGGATGCACGAAATATGACAACCTCCGTATAATACTACAGGTATCGCGCCGTTGGGACTCAGCGGTGATTAACCGACTTGGACCAACAAACCAACCATCTATCATTCATACCTTACTTGTCCCATCGCTAATTCCGCTCGAGTAGAAAGGCTTTCCAGATTAGAGAGTGTCCTATGCTACTCGGAGCTGGTTCGTTTGGAGCTTTTGTGTCGTTATGTGATCATCGCTTGGGGAATAATAGGAACAGCAGTTTCACGAGCGCGAGTCCATTTTCTAATACCATGCATGAATTCCTTCAAACACTCCCAAAACTCCCAAATTCGAAACTTTGTCTTTTTCCTCCGTCACGCCTCGTCGATGCGGAGTGGGCTTGAAACGTGGCTGGATTGATTCTTTTGGGGGGGTTTATCAGGTTAGAATTGCCACTACCTTTCTCCGCGGTGGGAGTGTTCTTCCAAGTTAGGTGTGTTATCGTACCCGTGGAACCCACCACTGGATGAATCCAGTATCATACCGAGGGCACAGTAAAGAGTGTTATACTCTTCTCGGGTTATACTTGTTACATGTGCCCAGGGCAGCTATGCTTTATACCCGGAGAAGACCGCCTGTGCACGGACGGGTGGGTCCGGGTGCTCTGATACCGGTATGAGTGTACTCGAGTACAATCCGTCATATTGAAGCAACACTTCCGACAGGCTTGGGGTTAATCAAACGAGTGAGACACCATGATCCCGTGATGGTCTTCAGGGAACAGATCCCGGGCGTAGCTACCATTCCGCCATGCCGGCCATGCCGGTATGCCGCTTCCTCTCCATTATTGGGTTGACATTACTAGGGTTAGCCGGGGGTTTGTAGAGTGTGACAAGTTCAGTGTCATCGCCACTGTAACGCAGCAAGGGTTAAGGTGAGGGTGCTCGTGTTTGTCGGTGTGATATACTATCATATCATACTAGTCTCGAACTGACAGAACTTCATTGGGGGGCCATGTGGGGGGGGGGGGGTTCGGGGCACGCAGCGCAAGCTGTGGGATACACACGGCGCTAGAGTGGTTCGAGCCGTGATACATACCAGAAGCCTGTTCCCAGCGGCCAGGCAGGGTGTCCGGCCCGGATGGGACGGGCGGCTGTGCCGGCACTCGAGACGGTTCCCGTGAAGAACCCGGAACGTGGAACCCAGAGGTCCCCAACACGGAATAAGCGGAACAACAAGGCGCTTCACATGATCTGCAGGGGAGCAACATGACCCTGGAGTGGGTTGTCATACCCGGTAATGCAACCTCACTCCAAGAGACTGTAGTACTCGTACTTGTAATTACCAGGAGTATCATAGCATGGGAGAGTCTGTGTGTGCCCCATCCCTCCCCCCCCCCTTTGGCACAGAGCGGTTTGCGTATATACTATACAAGCGTTGAGTCGAGCGCCAGACAGTTGCAGTTCCAAACTTCAAGATGTCCTCCCTCATGTACCGGTGTTGGCCGGTGCTCAGCACACACCCTTGAAATCATATTCTTGGCCTAACGCTGCGGGAATCATAGCTTGGATAGTTAAGCCACCCTAGCCGTCTCGTATCGGCGGGTGAGTGGATGATGCCAATCAAAGGTCTCTCGAAGACTCAGTGGGCGGGCGGGAGGGAATGGATGATGAATTCCAGAAGCAAGTGTTGTTTTCGCCAACCGCAAGGGCGCGCACGAAGCATGAGAGGATGTCAATGATCATCCACGAAGCAACCACCAATGCACCTTGCTTAACTTACTCCGAGGTATCGTTGCTCCATCTGCTAAACAACAAAGAAAACAAGTCTGGATTATCCGTAATTGAACCCCTGGGCGCAACCGCAGGCTTAGGTATTATAAAGTACGGGGACAAAAGGGATCGTCCGGCACAGCAACGGCGACCCCACAACCACTCTAAACTTACTACCTATGCAACCACAACTACTTAGAATGAACTGAAAATTTAGATAGATATCCACTAAATATAACAAAAACTGTGTGTGAAATTGCAAAAAAAAAAAATCACTACTCTGTATACCATCCCTTTGCATCTAAAAAAGTAGCCACTCTCCTAGTCCTTGACTTCC